TCAACTCAAAAAACTAATTATATTATTAATAAAAACACCACTGTAGTTGTACCGCATTTATTGAACAAAAATTCTTCATGTCCGAACAAGAATTTTTTGTTCACAACATATCGAAAAATAAAATATTCGTAGTTGAATTCATCTCTGCTTCTCAAATTTTTTAGTCAAACGTATGCTGGAGGGTTTAATTTTTGCACGCGAAAATTTTCCAAAAAATTTTAAGTTTTGTGTACAAAAATTGAAAATTTCTCGATAGCCAAACCTTTAAAAAAATCGTTGCCAATTTATTGGCAAGGAGCTTCCTCCAAAGATGGTTTAGTTATTATTAAAAATTGCGAAAATTTTGTCCCAATCCTAGATGGAACATGATTAAGCCTTTTCTGCTCACCTTTTACAACCCCTAGAAAAAGAAAGATCCTGGAGAAGTTTTAACCAGCCCTGTATCGGAAACCTGGTGCACCAGGTCGACGGAAAATGGTTTAGCCCCTTCCACTCGCATATTAGAACATTTGAGGCTATTCATAAGTTTCGGATGTAATACTAAACTAATACGAAGTATTTTTTGTTCGATTCGTGAGAAATTCACGATTTTTAAAATTCCGACCTTCAAATCAAGATTACCACCCTTAAAGGTCATTTATATTCAAAATCCTTTCGGGGGATGATTCCTCGCATCATTTTGCAACTTTTTAAGGGTCGGGCGAAAAAAAATTTTTTTTTCGCTCCACCCTAAATTGCCCAATAACGGGGGCCAGAGGAGCACCTGACGCAGGCTCAACGTCAGTGTCATCGACTCGGTTCTTCTTTACGGTGCCCTGATATGGAAGGATGCTGTGATGATGTAATGTTACAGCGTCAATCTACCAACGCACGTGTCTTCGTGCGATCTGTGGCTTTCTCAGAATTTCTCACGAGGTCGTGTACGTTTTCACCAGCACTCTTCCACTGACCACCACCTCAACAAACTCCTTTCTAATGGCTAAAATATCGGATTTCAGGGGCCTCGTTCTCGGTTATAGAGGGAAAAACCAAGATCCTAACCTACATGGCTTCGAACAACATATAATCAACTACTTTCACATAAAATTTCAAAGAGATTCATGTTACTAGAAAAAAATTACAGCTTAACGAAATCTTGAAAAAATGCTCTTTTTTATAATATTGATATCTTTAAACAGCTGTATCTTTGTTGCTCTCGAACCAATTTTAAATCTGAGTACGGCGATTGATATGCAATAATATAGCTTTCAAATGAAATATTACAGAGATCAATACGTCAATCCAATCGTCTTCAACATCCATTTAAAAAAAGCTTAAAAACGACAATTTTCAATATTACGTGTCCTAGTGACGCAGGGGTTCAATGTTGAAAAAAAATGAAAATTTCGTGATGCAGTTGTCTTTTAATAAGTGCACTTAACAAATCCCCACCGAAAAAATTTCCAAATTCAATACCTAGCACTCACTACCGTAGTATAACCATGCCAAATGTCCGCTCCGTTAGCTGTCCTAAAGTCAGAATCGTTGCTTTCTTGACGTCGTACGTTTTTTAATGAATACCTAGATATTTTATAGTATACAGACTATATTCTATACTTCTAATAGATGATTTTTATGTGCCGCTGGTACTGCAGGAATCTTTTTTGAACTTCGTACAGCTTTTACAAAAGTGTCGTGAGTTTTGATCATTTTTTTTTGTACTTTAAATTTACTCCATTAGAATGGTATGGTTACCATTTTGAAGCTCCTAAGCTGTACTAACTTTCTCAAAAAAGTTCATGTGTTCGATTTTCGGCTGTTAAAAATTCAAACATTGGACGATACCTTCGCAAAAGTGTCAGACGTATTGGCAAAATCAAGCGGTAAAAAAATCTGTCCGCTCCGTTAGCAAAGAATGCGCAGGTAAAAAAGTCCGTTTTCAACGTAGAATACGTAGAAATGTTCTTTTTTAAAAACTCCAAGTCCTAGTTGTCGGCGAAATTACACGCACTTAAACTCCATAACAATGATTTGTCCGCTCCGTTACTGTCCGCTCCGTAAGCAATACTAGGTTTCAGCATAGGCAAATTACATATTAAAAATGAATTTCATATCCTAGCTCTATGAATTTGAAAACAAATACTTTTTAAGGTAAGAAACGAAGTTCCGTTCTTAAAAAAGGGTTTGGAGACAATTTTTTTGCGCACTTTTCCGATGCGAAATATCGATGAATCGGAAGAATCAACCATATATAAAAAAAACTGCTTATCTATGAATTGCATACACATTAGCCTAATAGATTCTAGATTATATCGCAGGTACCGATAAATTATATTTATCATCTTTAATAGCGGCTTTGTACCACCTCGGCTAGTTTCTACGTAGACAACGAGTTGTAGGGACAGGGCTAAGATACGGATGTATGATCGAGAAAGATCGAGTTATATAACTGTATATTAAAGTGGTGCAGTGCGTAGCGATAGCATAACGAGGACTTACAATTGGAGTCTCGCAGGTGGTTGAATAGTTGGGTCAAGTCCGGATCATACACAGCGTGGGCACTCCGACCCCCTCCAAGTATAACGATTATGACACCTAACACACGACAATAACAAGGATTGGGTAATTTATCGTTCAATCACACGAGCCAACACAGAGTCATCAGTCCAGCGTTCACTTGTGGCCCTTCAATCCCACTCGGCTCAATTGTCGCTGATGCTCTCGCTCGCTTGAGGGGAGTCATACACTAATTCACTCCTCTTTGTCATTTTTTTTATATAAATCACAGTTGAATGTCAATCTACATTTTCAACATAAAATTGACACCTTTGATTCCTAAAAAATGTGAAAAACCGCTGCCAATGTATTGGCAAGTAGCTTCCTCATACTTTTTTTTTAACTTAAAAATAATTTGAAAATATTAATATCATCTTTCTAATTACGAAAGCGAAACGAAAGCGCCTCTCAGCTTTATCGGGTATCTCAAACAAACAATGCAAAAAAAAAAAAATTTTTTTCTTAAATAGAAAAAAAAACGTTACGTTTATCGATAAATGAATTTTTCTGGCTTCGTCCCTATGTCATAACGAAAAAAATAAGCCCTCCCCCGTCACGATACGTGCTACCGTTATCAAGGAATCACTCTACACAGCCATACAGCCGCATACACCCACATACATTCCAAAATGTGTCAAAAATTCGATCTAGTATATAGAAATATCATTAAATATATCCTACGATAATTATATACGAAAGCCTAAATGTATCCCATCACAAAACTTCCTATATGAGGGAGCAAAAGGAAGAAAACGACAATTTCCCGCAAAAAAAATTTTTCCCGTAAAAAAAAATTTTTAAAAATCGAAAAAAAAATTTTTTTTCTTCGTTTATCGCTAAATACAATTTTCTGGCTTCATCCTTACATCATAACGAACAAAAAAAGCCCTCCCCCGTCACGATACGTGCTACCGTTATCGAGGAATCACTCTACACAGACATAAAAAAATTTCCAAAAATTTTTAAAAATCGAAAAAAAATTTTTTTTTCTTCCTTTATCGCTAAATACAATTTTCTGGCTTCATCCTTACATAATAACGAACAAAATAAGCCAAACCCCGTCACGATACGTGCTACCGTTATCGAGGAATCACTCTACACAGACATACAGCCGCACACACACACACACACACACACACATACATACCAACATGTGTCAGAAATTCGATCTAGTATATAGAAATATCATTAAATATACCCTACGATTACTCTATAAAAAAGCCGAAATGGAGCCCATCACAAAGCTTCCTCTATGAGGAAGCAAAAAATTGCAGAATAGGCCTTTGCATCTAAAAATAGCTCATTTTTGCTATTTTAGCCTTACGGTACTGTGCGCAAGGCTCAGATCACAGTTTTTGAGGTGGGAGTTCCTGATAGGTCTCAAAATCTTGAGAAAAGTATCCTTTATGGGCTGAGTTTTGTGGAATTTTGATTAGAGTTATAAAAAAGTTTGTATGCCAACAGATGTGAAAAAAGCAAGATATAAAAAAAATTTATCAATGTTTTTCAGCACATATTGAATAATAGAACTGATATGAAGGTCTAAATCAAAATTCCACAAAACTCAACCCATAAAGGATACTTTTCTGAAGATTTTGAGACCTAACAGGAACTCCCACCTCAAAAACTCTGATCTGAACCTTGCGCATAGTGCCGAAAGGCTAAAATAGCAAAAATGAGCTATTTTTAGATGCAAAGGCCTATTCTGCAATTTTTTCACATTTTTTAGGGCTCAAAGATGTCAATTTTATATTGAAAATGTAAATTGACATTGAACTCTGGTTTATATCAAAAAAATGAAAAAGAGGAGTGAATTGGTGCATGACTCCCCTTAACGAGCATCGCATTCTCTTGCGTGTTACGCATGCAAATACACATATTTCGGCGCACGTAAATAATAATGCCAACGCGCTGATATTATATTAGGCTCCTGGTAGTCTCTCTCTCTCTCTACTACTTGCTCTACTACTCTCTAATACTTGCTCCTCTGTTTACCCTCAAAATTGAGAGATACTTAGTGCCAAGAACTGTGAAACAGTGGCACACTTGCTGCTATGACTACTACCATCTACGTTCTAGACTGATTTGTACAAATGTTAATATTCCTTTGCTTCTGTTATACTTGCTGTTAAAATGTTTTACTGACCAAACTGTCTCTGTAAATTGCCGTTGGGCCCCATGTGGTTATACCTCAGGGCCCCAATAAATACACTAATCAATCAATCAATCTCTCTCTCTATCTCTCTCTCTCTCTCTCTCTCTCTCTCTCTCTCTCTCTACTAGAGAAATTTATAAAATAAGGTGGAGAAAGGATTATCGTCCGACCCTGTGCGTGCTGACATAACTTCGTTACAATATTAATAAAAATAAAAAGTAATAATTACTGCTCCAAATACAAACATTCTTTAAATTAAAATTTGTTTTAAGCCAAATGACAACTGAATGATTGTATTTTTACTTTTCAGTTTCCCCAGAAAGGAAGTTACATTGAAAATACTTATGGGAATTCAAAAATGAGGTCAAAAGTAAGTATGATAATCAGATATTTGTTCTTACAAAATTCAAATCATTCTAAATTCTCAATTAGTAGTTCTACAGTTCTTTACGATAAAAGATTATTCCTTTTTAGAAAACACAAGCTAGTTCTCAGATACGTGAAAGATTGTAAGTGATTTGGGCAGAAATCCTTTTGTTTAAATAAATTTTTTTAAAAACCAAAATTTTGATACTTCACTGAGGTACAGTCATTTCCGTGAGTCTTTTTTTAGATATTTTGCTTTATAAATTGTTGAGTTTTTTGCATTTATCTTATGTTTCTTATTTCTTCCAAATCTTATTTCTCTTACTTAATTTTCAGAGAAAAATATTTCAGTTTTAGTTTCTAGGTAATGCATACTTCTTCATAACATCAATAGTTATAGTCACAATCTTGAATAAGATGATGACCCATAGGTTTCTCTAAATAAAAACTTGAGCTTAACAATTTTTCATTTTTTTTAATTATCTGCATCATACACGTATTCTTCGAAGTTGTGCAAGTGATTTGATTACTTCACCCGAAGTAGTAGTTATAAAACTTAATATGTTTTAAAAGTGTACATTATCGGGTGTAATATCTCGAGTATTAAAAGAAAAAACATAAATAAAAAGTTGAAGATAAAATGCGGTGCTGTAACAAATTTTATTACTGATCGTGGAAGACCTGTGCACGGTCAATGAGTTGGACCAGTGAACTGTGAGTGAAATAACTAATAATACAAGTGCGATTGTCACATTTCGTAAGAATTTGAATACTACGGCTGTTCTCCATCGTGCTCATTTTGCGCATTTTGATCTGCTGCTTTCTGCTGATCTAAATCGCAAGACTTAAAGTCATAAAAGAGTACCATCCCACCCTTAGTATCCATCTAAACCTGCTCTGACCTCAAGTGACGTGAAATGCATAATCATGAACGTAATGAAACACAAAATATAACTGTTGCATACCCTGTTTGTTTGCGTGTGTTGAATCGGGTGTCGGCCGCAAGGCAGTGTATGTGTGTGTAAGTGCTCCGAAAAATTGCTTTGTCGCGACTGGCGTCCAGCGCGAACTCTTGTGATCGCGAGCATTTAGTTCGGTTGTGACGCTGAGAGAGGCAAGACCTCGAGATACGACTTAACTTGCGAGCGACGCTTGCAAACACTTATAATCCCCAAAATTAACAATAAATACGCGAGTATATTTTTCTTTATTAAACTTGAGTGCAGTGTGTCTAATGATTTTTTCTTCCCCATTGCCCATTGCCGCTGACCGCACTCTATCTGTCGATAGCCGATTAAAATCGAGAATCGGAGTCGCAGAAAACATAACACTGTTGAACAATACTAACCCGAACTTCAAGAGAAAGTTTCAAGATGCACTTAACGCACATCTGTGTCCAGTCACAAACAAGTATCCAGACTTTACAGCCACAAGGGATGCTTTCACTAGGTGCGTTGATGCAGTAGAAATTGGAGTTATTGTTAGTTGCCTACTCTATGGTGCCGATAATACAGTGGTTATGCAAAATTTTGATTTTTATCAAGTTGATTCTTGTATAGATTATTACAAAATGCTAACTCTTTTCAATCACTTACCAGGATTCCCAAAAGCAAGCACATTTTTATCGAACTATTAAATTTGACTTTAAAGAAAATGATCGCTTGACATAAAGAGATTTGTCTTTAGGAGTCCCAGTAATTGATTGAAAGTTGTTAAAGTATCGTAATAACCTTTATTAGAATCAACTTGATAAAAATATTGATTAATTTGTTTATTAATAGGATTGGGGGATTGGGGGGCCTTTTATGGCTCCGATGCAGGGTATAACAAATAATTGAAAAACATCAAATATAAAATACAGTGCAATCCGCTTAATGGGATCACATAGAGCAACGAAACTTTGATTAAAATAAGCGGATGATCGCATTAAGCAGTATTTCTTAAAAGTAACTTTTAATTTCATGGAGATATTAAAAATAAGAGAATAAATACTAAGTGTTCGAGAAATTTCTCGAACAGTGTTGATCAACGGCCGTGGGCACGTTCAAGCTCACGTGCAGTGTCGGGCCGCGCGAGTTATTGCTGCGCGCTCAGAGATGGCGTAGCGTCTCGTGCCTGCCGCGAATCTACGTGCAGCGCGTTCTTCGCGACGGACACGTGAGTTTTGGCTCTCTTGTGCACCTCGCGCTCCTCGAGATACCTCGACTTTTTGCTAGCTCGTTTTAACCTCGCCTCTCGCGTGTGACTCGTGCTCCAAATTACCCTCAACGTCGAAGTCAGTTCATCCAGACAACTTCAACATAATCTACGACTGCTCAACTGTCCACATCTGCTGCTCTCAACCCAGGTGGGACACGAAAATCAACACAGGCCACTCATCGACGACTACTCACGCGGCATTGCGTCATTGCTCAACTCATTGGATCGGCTCATCTCGGCGCAAAACATCAGGTAAAGAGCCTACACAGGTGCTGAAGAAGACCAATAATGCCTTCTTCAGACTCTGTAGAGTCCTTTCACTCACTGGCGCAATTTGACCAAAGCACGGAGTCACTGCGAGGAAAAGTGAGGTTACGCTCAAGCCATGTATAAGCTCACGAGATTCTCAGCACCGCTCACTTCCGGCAGCTCACGCAGAGGACGAGAGGATTAATATAACCTTGCTTTTCGTCTTGCTCCGATTACTCTGTCTCGTGCTCCGCTCAAGTTGACATCTCGGTGCTCTCAGTTGGACTGCTCATCGCGACTCAATGAAAAATTAATACAATTTCTTAAACTCATATTCTTGTAAATTAAATTCTTTCAAAGTGAACAATACAATGATTGTTTTATCATAGTGGTGAAGTGTGAAATAAAGAAAATTGTGAAAACCAAAAAATTTCATGCATTCAAGCAGTCATTGTGCGACCTACCCATGCAACCATCCTTTTAATAATTAATTGTTTAAACAATTCTCAAACATTAAGACATACTAAAAAATTACATATTCATTTAAAATAATCATTAATCTTTTTTATTTCTTATTTCTTTTTAATCGAATTATAAATAAAATTTTCATATTTATATTGAACTTTAAAATTTGTTGACAAATGGTTAACTCAATTTTCCAAAGTTTGTTATGCTTCCAAAATTTGAGCATCAGAGAGTATTTTTACATTTTGATTATCAATCTCTTTAATTACACAGTTATCACATAAAACAGTTTATCACAGTGCTTTCTGATATTCGATTCCAATTATTATTTTGGTAGAAGTTTTTGGAAGTGGGCCATGGTCATTACATTTTTAAACTCAACTCAATAAGGGCAGTTTGAGCCAACTTTTTATTTTATGTGTCACAAGTTACTTATTCTTCTGATTCATTGAACGTTTCAAAAACATGATTCAAAATAAATATTTTCATGCTATTAACATTATATTTTATTAATAAAGGAAGCAAATAATTTGAAATATTTATTTATAATTTCATATTTTCAGGCTGGAAAACATTTTCATCGAACTTCGTTGCTAATTAAAGCTTTTAATCACAAGTTTCGTCTGGATTTGGAGCTAAATACGTAAGAAACTTTATGATACTTTTACAACATTCACAATATAAAATAAATTCCGAAAACAAAAAAAAAACTAAAAGGATGAGGATTGTTTGAATAAAAAATTATAACGGAGTAATTGATTTTTTAGAATTCTCTAAGCGATCGGTTTAGGCAGTAATAACAAATTGAACGATTAAACGAACTTACCTGTAAGTGACGTTCTATCATAATTATACGAAGAGCCTCTTCTGAAGAGATCACATTGTAGTTACAAATACGTTCAAAGAATAACATATTTTCTCCGCTTGGTGGCCTGCCGTAGCAGGCGCGGTGGCAGCTGAATCTTCATTTTTCAAATTAATATAATGCCGTAACTTTATTTGGGCTAGATTTAGCTGGAAAGGGTGGGTTTGATCTTTTCGGAAGAGGCTCTTCGTATAATTAGGTTAGAACGTCACTTACAGGTAAGTTCGTTTAGTCGTTCAATTATACTCCGAGCCTCTTCCTCGAAATCACATTGTAGATGTTAAAAGTTAGAGATGAGTTCCGGCAATTTTTTATTTTTTCTTATTTATTATATGAAAAAATTAATATAAGAGAACATCGAGGAATAAGATAATCAATCTGCTGTTGCAGCTACAGTCACAGAGTTAATTACTGTTTTTTTTTTTTTGATTAAGCATAGCGTTAGCGAAACTATTTTCATCAGATGCGATCGGTAGATCTTAAAACTTGGCAAAAGAACACGATTTATCGGTCCGGCCTGCAGTGGATTTTATTAAATCTATGTTAACTCCTAATCTTTTGGCAGCTGAGGTATACGAGTGTCTTGTACTGTATAATGAGAAAAAATTTGTTTTGATGCCACTCATCTTCAGCGTTTCTTTATCCACCTGTTGATCAATTGTGAAATAACTGCCTTGTAAGGTTTTTTGTAGGATAGAAATAAAACATTTTCTGGTCAGCGTAAAGCTTGAGTACGGACATATAATCTTCTAAAGCTTTTGCAACGCAGATTTTTTTATTTTCAAAGAATAGCAGCCTCAAGGCTGGTTGCGTACGACTCAGACCCGATGTTTTAATGTCGGACGGTATCTTTATGACAAAACTGTCATCTAATCGTGAAAAGTTTTGTACATCTATTAAAGACAGTGTTTGAATTCTGTGGCCATTAGTGAGCACTAGCAGCGTTGCCAATTTTGATGCAAGGCTTTCCGTAGAAATATCTTCATTCGAAGGCCAACCTATAAATAGGTCTAAAACAATTTGTAGATCCCACATACACTTGTATCGGCGCTGCGGGGGACGCAGTTTACAGGTGCCCTCACTCAGCCGCTTTATAGACGCTTCTTGCGCGACTAATTCTTGGTCAAAAATAAATGATATGGCAGATTTATAAGTGTTGATTAACCCGTACGAGGCTCCTTTTTTAAATAGATCCGTCAGAAATTGTTGAGTTTCCAAAATGTTGACGGATAGTGAGTCGATTTTTTTGTTATCACAATAATCGAACCATTTCTTCATGCGCCCTCGTACTGACGAAGAGAAAATTTGGTAATGGAAGCAAACATGGGGTCAATGGCATTTTCTGACATGCCTTTTAAGGCAAATGTTTGCCTGACGCGATTCCTGCCACTAAATTTAGTTGACGCCAAAGTGGATGTTGAGCTCAGTGGAGAGATTTTTGCATATTATAACGTGGTTTAAAAATTTTCGTTTTGGATACAAGCATATCATTTAGCAGTGGGTACTAGGGTTGAGATGGCCAATGGGGAGCCACTATAATAATACCTGTAATCTTTTCATGCTTTATTTTTGAAAGCCCCTTTAACATTAAAGCGTAGGGTAGAAATGCGTAAAAGAAAAATTTGTCCCACTTAATTGTAAACGCGTCTACAGACATGGATCCTGGATATTTTTTCCAGGATACGTGTTAAATAGCGCTGTGCCAGGGAAGGTTCTAGTTGACGGAAATCGCCAAAGACTGTTCAAGTATTCCGAGTTATTATATTTACTTTATTTAATATACGCGTGCTCTCGTCTCGCTGCTCGAGAGGCTCGACAATAATAACAAAACATAACATACAAGTCAGCTATTTATAGCTAGGAATAATAACACAGGCATACAATATTAATTAATTAGACTAAAAACATTACATATATAACACGGCCATCCTATTGTAGATCGTCCTCGATCAACATCCTACAGCATCACCAGAGAAAAGCGAGATGCGAGGTGGGCCCTCAAGTCCAGGCTACACTTTCAATCGCCAATTTTCTTATTTTTATTATTTTATTTCAAATACATGTTTGATTAAAATGAGCTTGAGGACGCACCTCCCATCATTGGCATGCTTCGAGACGCATAACGATTAGAACTAATTACATTTTCTTTTGCGCTTGTAAACGACTCGACCGCCTTAACGCAACGCCACTCTCCTCTTCGTCGCTAGACGAGTCTTCGCCGTCATCGTACTGGTCAACTGGAGGCGTCCAAAGCTTCAGTTGAGTTATGTGAGCTGTTGAACAGTAACGGTTCGCTTTTTTTGTGTTCAATTCGGCTATGCGGTATGAATCGCTTGGCAATACTTCAGTTATTACCAAAGGTCCACGATTTTTGTATTGAAGTTTGGTTGAATCGCCCGTGTGTGTAGGATTTACCTTGAAAAAGACTAAATCACCTACGTTATATTTACATGTCACATTGCGATTAAGATCGTAGCGTTGCTTCATTTTAGCTTGTGCTTCGAGGATTTTTGTCGAAGTCTCGACATGACGGTTTGAATGATTCGCATCATACCGCTCTTCCTTCTCAACCAAATCGCGTAAGGGCCCTTCATCGTGGCTAGGCACGTAACCATACAACAATTCAAAGGGACTCTTTCCCGTGCTGGCATTGTACGACTGATTCAAATCGCGCTGAATTTGTTTCAATTTGACGTCCCAGTCGGTAGCATCTGGTTTTTCGAGGGCAGCTTGCATCAATGGTATTAGTGTGGCATTGACACGTTCGCACTGGCCGTTCGCTTGAGGATGCCTTGGCGAAGTCGGGCTAAATTTTATACCGTGCTTATCACAAAATTCCTTAAAACTAGCGGACATAAAGCATGGGCCACGATCAGAGATAATTCGCTTCGGCGCTCCGAAATCGCATACAAAGTTCTCCATCGCTTTAATCACCGTTGACGCTCGCGTACCCTTCATCGCAGTGAGTATAACAAATTTGGTGAGATTGTCAATCAATACAAACACAACTCTATTTCCGCCGCTTGACCTTACAAAGGGACCCACGTGATCCACATTCGATTGCCGGGCGGAATAGGGTGTAACTCGCCGCTCTGTCTACCGGGGCGCGTCTTCGCAGCTAAACATTGGAAGCAAGAGTAAACGTGCTGTTTGACATATCTACGCATACCACGAAAGTAATATTTACGCGACATCGACTCGAGCGTGCGTTCTACTCCCTGATGACCGCCATAATCATGAAACCGCACCACTAAACTTTTACGCATCGATCGAGGTACAACGTAACATAATTTTTCGTTGTGATTTTTATATAAAATGCCGTCCGTGATGACTAAATCCTTCACCATTTCTTTTTCCATTCGTGAACGTTCATTGCGCGGTTTCGCTAAAATATCGCGTTTAGCGGCAATCTCCTCGTCTTTGTATTGGAACGCTAAAATCTCGTCGCTTTCACGAATGATTGTAAATACGCCGAGCTCGACGCCCGTGTTGTCGTTTCGCACAGACACATAATTGACAATGTTTACGCTCGCGATCGCTTCCTCGAGTCTGCCCTCCTTGTCCGTACTTGCCTGATTCTCGACCGGGGCGCGACTCAAAGCATCGACATGCGCAAGCTTCGCACCCTCGCGATGAACAATTTCATAATTAAACTCGCTCAATAAGTGATGCCATCGGACAATTTGAGCATTTTTCGTGCGGTGCGCGTTCATATATACCAAGGCTTGGCAATCGGTTACAATTCTAAATTTAATGTTAATTAATAACGTACGCAGTCTCGAGACAGCCCACACAATTGCGAGAAGCTCTAATTTACTAGAGTGATAAAAACGTTCGGCCTCACTCGTGCTTCGACTTATCGCGTACACCAGACGTAAGTCTTTGCTTGAATCGCCCTGTAACAGCATACCGGCTAAACCACGCGCGCTCGCATCCGTATGTAGTTCGGTATATTTACTCGGGCTAAACGGCTGTAATATGGGACGTTCAACCAACTTATCGCGAAGGAGCTCGAAAGCCTTTCTGACATTTTCGTCCCAAATGAATGCTCGATTTGTCTTAAGTAGATCATTTAATGGTGCTGCTACTTCGGCATATCTCGGTACAAATCGCCTGAAAAAGCCGGTCAGACCCAGGAACCGCCTGATCTCGTGTACATTCCTAGGTACCGGAAACTTAGCGATCGCGTCTACTTTGTTTTGACCCGGTTTAATACCCTTCGCGGATATTTCGAAGCCCAAATAAATTACTAAGTCTTTCAAAAATTGGCACTTTTTCAAGTTAATCGTTAAACCCGCGCCACGCAATGCTTCGAACACCGAGACCAGCTTGGGTTTTAAATCGTCCCACGATTTTCCAGCTATGAAGATATCATCTAAGAAAAAAAGTACTAATTGATGACGCAACGGATGTAAAATTCTNTTTGATTGACGACGGCTGCGTTGATGCCCATGATACACGCAGCGCTTCCTGGATCGATGAACGAGCTCATTTCCTTATTGTTGATCAAGGCTGTTTTGTAATATTTTACTGCGGTTGATCTAGAAGTTTCTTCGCGCCCGTTTGAGATTTCATTCACCGCGTTTTGACAATCCTTTTTGTAGTGTCCCGCTGTTTTACAGCCAACGCAGTATGGTTCCTTTCGAGGCTGTGTGCAATCTTTGGAAAAGTGTCCGTACGCCTGACAGTTGAAGCAGCGCGGTTCACCTTTCTCATTTCTCGACGGCTGCCTTTGGGGTCTTACGCTCGTATTCCGGCTGCTCTTGTCGCCATTTGTC